GGTCACAATGACATATTGCTACATTCCTAACAGAATACAAACTAAAAAGATGGCAATGACACCAAATGTTGGCAATGATGTAGAGAAATGAGATCACTCATACATGCTCGTGGGGATGTAGAATTGTACAGCCAGTCTAAAAAACAGTGTACCTCTTTCTTACAAAACTAAATATACATACAATTCAATCATTGAGCTCTTGAGCATTTACTCAAAGAAATGAAAATGTATGTTCATATAAAAATCTATACACAAATGTTCATAGCATCTTAATTTAGAATATCCCAAAACAGAAAGACCCCAGATATCCTTCAAGGGGTGAATATTTTTAATGCAGTATATCCATACCATGGAATACTATTAGAAATTAGAAATTTTTCATTTCTTTTTAGAAATGAACAACTGAAAAATGCAGCTAGAATTACTAGAGAATTATGCTGAGTAAGAAAATTCAACCCATTAAGGTAACATAATGTAAGATTTCATTTATATATTATATATTTTATAATATTATATAATATTCTTAAAATTACATAATAATAGAGATGAAGAACAGATTAATAAATCGTCAGAGATCAGGGGCATACTGGGGAGAAGAATATTGGCATGGCTATGGAAGGGCAACAGGAAGGTTCTTATGTTCTCATGTAACTGTTCTTGTTTGTGGATAAAAGAATGTGAACATGAGAAAAATTCTATAGAACTACACACACACACACACACACACACACACACACGTGAAATCTGAATGAGTAGTGGATTTTGTTCATTTCCTGAATGTGGTATGGTACTATAGTTTTTCAAGAAGTTACCATTTGGGAAAATGGGTAAGGAGTAAACAGAATACCTGTATTCTTTCATACAACTACATGTAAAAGTACAATTATCTGAAGATAAAATGTTTAATTATAAAAAATAAAAACCTAAAGTGTTGAATAGAAAACAAATACTAAGATAGTAGATATAATCCCAAATATACCAGTAATTACAAGAACTAGACTAAATAATCCAATTGGAAGATTAAGATTGTTATTTTGGATTTAAAAAAACAGAAATAAAAGAAAAATATATACAGCTCAGAAAGGACACATTTTGTAGAGTAAGACTAATGAAAGTTGAAAGAAATCAATAAAAGAATATATAATGTAAATTTGGTGCAATTCTTGAAAGCAAGAAACAATTTCAGAGATATGGGACATTTCATAATGATAAAAAGGTTATACATCAAAAAGTCATAAAGTTCTAAATCTTATATCCAATAAAATAAAATTAAATGTATACAGCAAATATTGACACACTAAAAAGGAGAGACACACAAAGTCACCACACAAAGACACAAAGTCACACTGAAATGCACCTTTCTCAATATGAATAAATATGACTTAGTTGAAATATGTAAAATACTGCATATGTAAAATATGTAAAATACTTTAGGAAATGACAATACAGATTCTTTTAAGTGTATATGGAACATTTAGAACTATTCACACACTGGATGAAATCAAGTTTCAACAAGTATTAAAGGCTTGAAATTATTCTATATAAAATTATACTAGAAAGCAATAACAAAAGAGATAATTAGAAAAATCCCAAAATATTTTGAAATTTTGCAATACATTTTTATCTAAAATATAATCCATGAGTCAAAGAAGTAATTATAACAAAAATTAGAAAATATAATTAAATGAATACTTAAAAAAAATAGCTTCATGAATAGCAACACTTCCAGACTCCAATTCTGGCCAAGAAGGAGTAGCGCCATTCTTCTCAAATTCCCCCCAACACAATTAATGAACCATGGACATACTCCAACAACAGGTAGAGATGATGAATGAAATGAAAAGGATAAGGCTAATTGCCTAGGGACCTTTTGACTTGAGGAATGGCAAGGTGGTAAGTCTTGTGGGTTTTCTTACTGCCTCCCATATATCCTAGACAGTGTGCTCTAGGAGTCTGCATCCCAGAATCACTAACAGCAAGACAGAAAAAGGGTTACAACAAAATCTCTTCTCCCTAAAGGACTATGAAATGAGTGGGCTAACCACATTCAATATTTTTTGGAAACCTGCCCTAAACAATCAAGCATCAATGGAACCACTGTCTCCTTTCCCCCAGGTTTCATCAGGGCCAAGCAGGGAGCTAGTCTTCCACACATCCTCTGATTCCATCACTTAGTGGTGTTCAAGAGACCATGCAGGAAACTGATCCTCCATTTCCCACATCAAAGAAGCAGACAGAATTTCCATTCCCTTTGAGATAATATCACTGGGACCTAGTGGGAAGCTTAACCCCCATCCCCACTCTGCAGCAATTAAACTCAGGAAGGTGACCTGAAATGGAGTTAGTGGGTACTCTGTTTTTCCTCCCGTGCTAACCACCATGGATCAGCAGGAAGCCTAGCTTCCATGCCCACCTGTCATCACCAAGGTTAAGTGAGGTGGTGGAAGGTGGGACTTATTGCCCTCAGCTTTCCTTCCATCTCCTCCTCTTTGTCCACAGGGTCTCACTATGGAGAGCTGAGCATCTACCTCATCCTGCAGCAATAAAGCAATGTGGTCAATCCTGCCCTTCCACCCTCCCAGGTGGCAGCAGGGTCAAGCAGGAAAATAAGCGGACATTACAGTCAAAGGCACTGCATGATCCAGATGGCATTTGACATTCACCAGGATTTAGTTAGAGGGACTGAGGAGTTTGACAACTTGCATTTCAGTAATTTTTAATGAGGCAGTATGAGTGGGGATTCAGGGAATTTAACATACACACCCATCCAGCCCTCATATTACATGGCAACAAAGGGATTACCTGCTTTAAAAAGGAGATTAAAAAAGAATCCAAAGTCTCATAATTTAATACCCAAAAAGTCCAGGATAATTTTTTTTTAAATCACTGGTTTTACTAAAGCCAGGAAAATTACAACCTGAATGAGAAAAGATAATCCAAACACACCAATACTAGATGAACAAGATACTGAAATTATTTGACAAGTATTTTAAACCAGTCATAATAAATACGCTTTAATTAGCAATTACAAGTGCTCTTAAAACAAACAAAAAATTAGAAAATTTCAGCAATAAACACACACACACCTCAAATAGACATGATAGACCTGAATATCACATCAACAACAACAACAACAAAATAAAATCATGGTGAATGAGCTCAATAGCAGAATGGAAACAAAAGAAGACAGAATCATAGAATTTGAAGACAGATCAATAGAATTTACCCAGTCTGTATAACAGAAAAAAAATTGATTGAAAAACAAAAGTATAAATTTTCATAGATCTGTGGAAGAATAATATAAAAGCTAACATTGTATTATCAAAGTGACAGAAGGAAAGAAGAGAGACTGGGACTGACAAAGTATTTAAAGAAGTAATGACAGAAAACATCCATAATTTGCTGAAAGTCATATACATACAGATTTAAGAAGCTGAGGGAAACCAGGAGAGAATAAAACCAAAGAAATCCATCCAAAGTTACATCATAATTAAACTTCTGAAAACTAAAAAAAAAAGAAAAAAAAAAAACCAGAAATCCTTTGAAAACAGGAAGCAAGAAAGGGCATATTATTTATAGGGAAGCACCAATTTGAATGATCAGGGGGCCCAAAGCACTGCATGACATTTTTCAGATACAAGGCAAGAATTATCAACTTTGATTTCTATATCCATGGGAACTAATCCTAGGCGTTAAGGTAAAATGAAGATATTTTCAGACAAAGTAAACTAAGAGAATTTGATACAAGTAAATATACCTTTAAAGAATGGCTAATAAAAAATTTAAAAAAAAACACCTCTAAATAGAAAGGAAATGTTAACAGAAGGCTTAGAACTTTTGAAAGAAAGAATATTGAAATGGGTAAAACTTAGGTTAAATATAAAAAAAAAACTATCCTTTCCATAAGTTTTTATGATCATTTTTGATGACTGAAACAAAAATCATACCATCTGATATGGTGCTTGATATATGTAGAAAAAGTTAAGATAATTATGCTTACAAATTAGGGAGGATTAAGGGACCTAAATGAAAGTAATATTTCTATATTTCATTCAAAGTGATAAATCAATAGCAGGGTGTGATGAAATGAGCAACCACTCAGAAAACTATACCAAATGATACACTAAAAAGCTATGAAACTAAATCAAGACATAATCCTGAATTTCTGGGTATAGCTAGAGCAGACTTTGATGGAGATGTGCAGTTCTGACTACATATATTAGCAAAGGAAGTCTGAAAAATTAATGATCAAACAAAAGTTTAGGAAACTATGACCTACAGACCAAATCTTGCCTGACACCTGTTTTTATAAATAAAGTTTTATTGGAATACAGCCATACCCATTTGTTTATATATTGTCTATGGGAGTTTTCATGAAACAAAGGAAGAATTCAATAGTTGTGATAGAGAAATTAGACCTGCAAAGCCTAAAATATTTACTATACCACTTGTTACAGAGAAGTCTCAGGACACCTAGAACATCAATCTCAAGAAACTATAAGAACAAAAAGTCAAGCCAAAGAATTTAAGGAATGAAAACAATCAAGAAAGAAGCAGAAACTCATTATTTATAAAACACAAAATGCAGAGCTTCAGGACATTACTAATAATTTACCTTTATTTAAAAAGATAGCGTGAGATAGCACTGCTATTAAGTACATGAAAATAGTTTGCTACCTAAATGAACTACATTATTTCCTTGAGAAAAAACAACTTACTAAAACTAAGATAAGAAATTAAAAGAAAACAATAAAACTCTATTTATTATTAAGACACTAAATCTATTACAGAAGTTGGTAGAGTTAGGGCCTTAACTGAATGTTTCAAGTCATTGAATTCCTAAATGTTTTACTGTGTTATACTATCTTTTTTTGTAGTTCTTCTTTCTACTATTAGAAAGGTGTTGAGAATAAAAATCATAAGCTATATTATGTTAAAAGTTTAGTTGTAGGCCTCTTTTGCAGTGAACAGAAAGTCAAAACCTACTAACTTGAACTCACCGACTCAAATCTGTCCCAGGCACATACTGAGAAAAACGTGAATGAAGCAGTGGAATCAGCCTAAGGTCACACCATCGCTTTTCCCATCTCAAACCCGGAGATGTTGGCCATGAAGAACATGATAATGTGTCCTGAAAAGAATACAAACAATCAATGTTCTTTTTTTCGCTTCTGTGTTTTGAGTTTCTATGTAACAAATACTTTTCCTTTGGAGAAGATTAATTTTTCCCCCTAAATAATCAAAAGACATTTATAGACTGCCTCAAAAAGGGATCCATATTCATTGTCAATAAAGCTGCATCCGTTAATTTCTTTATTAAAGGCATTCTATAGGAATGTGAGAAAGGAATCACTGAGATTAAGAGTGGTAGGGAAAGCATATGAAAAAAAATGAAGTGGGGAGAAGGAAGAAAAAATAGAAGGATGACAGAACTGAATTCAATCAGGAATGGGAAATAAGAGGCAAGATGTAACTGCAATGAAGCAGTAAGTGACAACATAAAAATAATTTGTATTTCATTCCATTAGCCACAATTTTCTGAGTATCTGCTAAGCACTAAAAAGTGCTATGTAAGTGCTTGTGATTTATCAGTTGCTCGTAAATATTTTTGAGTAAATATTCTTATAAAACAGCTTTTAAAAACTACTCGAGGTACTCTTTGTCCATTGTCGTAACTTCATGTTTATGAAATGTTCGTATTTTCTTATATTGTTTGAAAGTCATGTCAAGTCAACCACTGCTGGTTTAAAATTACATGTATTTTAAGTTTCATTAGAAGTTTAGGTCTTTTTCCTTATGTATAGAAAAGATATATATTTGAATAAAATTGGGGCTTTTCACACTTGATGATGATTCATGCTTCTTTCATTATTTCAGATTTACTTTAATATTTCTTCCTGGCAGTAGTACATGGAATAATGCTGATATTTAAATTGGGCTGGATTGTATGGGGGCCAAGGCACAAACTGATTTCTTTATATTCTATAGATTTATAATTTTTAGTGATAATTTTGGAAGACAATCCTATTTTAGTCTGGATGTTGAAACTCCATTAATATCAATATTATTAGTAACATTTTCTTTTTTTTTTTAACAATTTTATTTTTAAGTAATCTCCACACCCAACATGGGGCCTGAGTCCACAGCCCCAAGATCAAGGACCAGGTGCTCCACCAATTGAGTCAGCTAGGCTCCCCTAATATTTTATTTAAAGTATTAATTTCTTCAAAATTGCTTAGGGGAGAAAACTTCCATTATTTTCGCTAAAGTTTGAGTGCTCTTTGGTATTATTATGTTAATTGGTATCAACTGTGCCAATAAAAATATATTAAATCCTTCCAGTTGTTGAGAAAGCAAGGGTAGACTTGCAAAGACCATCCAGTTGAGGGTGCCCCCTACTGGTAATTGGTTTCCAAGACACCCAGCCTTTGATACAACATGCTTATTTGGTGCTTATTTCATGCTTATTTGGTGATTGCTAAGGCACAGACATAGATTTCATGTTAATCTTTCTTCTGTCCTTGATGTCACATGTTATAGATGGTCAACATTTGGAATGGAGTCAGTTAGGTGACAGTACCACAAGGTGGGGAGGGTTCAGCTCTGACTTCTGAATCAGACCACCTGGGTTCAAGAATGCCAATTTCCCAACTGACCAGTCCTTTAAACCTAAGGGCAATTTATTTAAAATCTCTGTGTTTTAGTGTGCTTATCTCTAAAGATAAGGATATTACGAGGCTTCTGCTCACAAAAGAAAAACCTAAAGCATTTTTGGACTCAGTAAACTATTATGTCCCCACTTTCTGCATGAGGACCCTTGAAAAAACAATAATCTTCAGTGACACACTAGGATAAACCGACTAGGTTTCTGTGACCAGAACAGACTGTAGCAAGTGTAAGTGTCCCAGGTCCCACCAAGCTGCCCTATAACTATCAAGCACACGTCAACATATGTCTGGAATGGACTCAAAGGACCCCATAGGGTGTATGATTCTCTCCTGAGAAGTTTTACAGTAAATAAACGGCCCAGGTCAGCCCGCCTGAAAATGACAGTGCCAGGCAGATTCATTCGGACCTATGTCTTAATGATTCTAGGGCCATCATATCTATTATAGCACAACATTTACCATTCATAATCAGAGGTGAAACCATGCAAAGAATAACTCAGATTTTTGTCTTGATTATTTCACAATTCTGTTATATGATTTTAGGCAAGTTATTTAAAGATGGTTCCTCATCTTTCTTGAAAAATACAAGTAGTTCCCTTTCCTTTTTATGTTCCATGAACAAATGACATAGGAAGTATAACAAGATAGAAGAGTTAAGCAATGGAATATTGAGGACAATGATAATCACTAATAGATGAATATAAGCCTTAGAAATCATGTTTCATAAGACTTCATAGTCTTATATGAACATATGAAATACAAAATATTTTTTTAAAGATTTTATTTATTTATTAGCCAGAGATCACAAGGAGGCAGAGAGAGAGGGGAAAGCAGGCTCCCTGCCAAGCACAGAGCCCTATGCGAGGCTAGATCCCCCGACCCTGGGATCATGACCTGAGCTGAAGGCAGAGGTTTTAACCCACTGAGCCACCCAGGCGCCCCCTGAAATATAAAATATTTCATATATGAAAATACATGTGGGGGCGCCTGGGTGGCTCAGTGGGTTAAAACCTCTGCCTACAGCTCAGGTCATGATCTCAGGGTCTTGGGATTGAGCCCCACGTCGGGCTCTCCGCTCGATGGGGAGCCTGCTTCCTCCTCTCTCTCTCTGCCTACTCCTGATCTCTCTGTCAAATAAATAAATTAAATCTTAAAAAAAAAAAAGAAAGAAAGAAAATACATGTGATCTTTGACATGTCTTTGATGTAGCATCTGAACTTGATACTTCCAAGAAACAAAGTTGTCAAATGTCACTTTCTTTTATGTTTCCTTATAAAAAGGGTGAAATAAGTCCCACTTCAGCTATTGAGTGAATCAACATTAATGTATTTCATTTTACAGATCTATTATTTATAATGAGCTTTGAAGATTATTCATCCTTATTTAATTATGAAAATTGAATATAATTTTGTTTTCTATTTTTTCTTTAATAGTATTTATTACTATATCTTAGAGTTATTTTTAATTATACATGAATGAACTAAAATAATGGTTTTTATGGTTTAAGTCTTATAACTACTTTTTAAGAGCTTTGTTCTTCAATGTCAAGAATGTTGTTTTCTAGAATAGTAATAATGTGAGTGGGAAAAGTAATATTTACATAGTCTTTGCTTTAAAATAGATTCTTTGCCCCAAACTTAACACAACTCAAGGTATATTGCCACGCAACAATCTCAAGAACAATCATTATACCAAAATAGAATTGGCTATAGAGCAAAATGCTAATCCAGATTTTGTAAGGATTTGGCATAAAAAGTATTCAGTAAAGGTATACAGTTAAGAAAAGTTTTTCTCAGAATCTGGTTAGCTACTTATCTGAACTTGAGTCTCCTGGTGAGCACAAAACAAATTCTGTTCTTCCACACTGGCTGCAAACCAGAGGATTCTTGTATACCTTAAAATCAGTGACCTGGAGTCCTTAGAACGGCTAGACTACATTTTTAGTAATGCGGTGGAGTGATGTTAATATATTTTCCCATATGCTTAAAATGCTGTTTCAGAAAACAAAAATAGTGCCTAGTTACTCAAAATTTGCTTCAGAGAATAATTAAGCTTTAGTAATTAAAAAATGGGGTTACCTGGGTCCAGAATAGAATTGAGGATTTAGACAGATCAGAGAATTAAGACTGTTCAGACTGTGCACATATTCTGTGGAAAAATGTTTCTCAGTTCATATTTCCTTCCTATTTACCCTGTTCATTGTTATTTAGTGAGGGATCAGAAGAAAACATGCCTTTAACTACTCCTAATTTTAGAAATCTCTGGGTAGAAATGTCCTCCACTCTCCATACCTGCCTCTAAGCCTATCAAGACACAGAAGAGAAACACAGGATAGCACTGGCCAGGTAAGTCAGAGTGATCTGATGGGGCCTGAAGATTTACTTTCTTATAGGCATTAGAACAAAGATTTGGTTCGTAGTCCCTCAATCTTTGTTGAGCTCAATTAAATCAGATATTCAAAGTCCCTAGTAGCCTTTTCCTCTGATATCTAAATGTTAATATCCATTGTTCTTTTTCTGCTTCTATTATAGTTAATTTTATCCATTTGTCTATAGATCTGAATTTTAAACTTTTTGGGTCAGAACACACAATTAACTTCTCTCCATGGTATCTAGAAGAGTGTTTCCACAAAGCAGATACTCAGTAAAAATTTATTTAATTGAAGCACATTATTTTTTTTAATTTTAATATACTTTATTTCAATTTACATATGTCTTGGTTCTTATTCTCTAAAATCATGGTAAGTATCATGAATTGCCTTGAACCTAAAGATCTTCAGCAATGGCAAAATAGTGTTCAATCCTAATGCTAAAAATGAAAATAAAATTCCCTCTTGAAAATAAAAAGACATAATTCATGTAAGGGAAATTTACAATTGTATTTTAAATTTTATATAGAGGGATTTATGTGGAAGAGTTATGTTATAGAATTACTCAATGATTTTATTGCTTAATCATACCTTTCTAAAGAGTACATGATAGCAAACAACAACATAGAGGCATCATTCATGAAATTAAATTCACAGATGTTTTTATTTGTTAATGAGATGAGTTATTAAAAAAAAGAAGAAGAAGAAGAAGACTGATTCTTAGCCATAGTTCTTCTATGTTGACTTCTCCACTTCTCATTATTATAGAGGCATCCAAGGGTAATAGGACAAGAATTAGATTAAAAATATGACTAAACAGCTTCTGCCTATTCTGAAGTAAAAGAGCTCTTCCTTCTTGTCTGAGGAGCAGAGCTGAGATGGGGACTTTTGTTTCAATTATATGTGAAGGGAAAGTTCTCAGGATAAACCTGTGATGACTGAGGAAAGCAGTGGATGAGGCAAGGAACAACCTTGGCAGAGATGTGGGCTCCTGAAGATCTCACACTGTCGGTTGCAACCACCTGGGAGGGAGTAGTGACTCCAGAGAAGTCAACAGTGAATGGGGTGGGTTGGGGGCGGGATATGTGGGGTGGGGAGTGTGATGGCGTGGTTTGGTAACCCACTCACAGCGGCTGGGTATAGGTCTGCCCAGTAAAGTGGACTGGAAAAGCATCCAAAGCACCAAGAGCATCTAAATAGTAAGGAAAGAAGGTGAGTAGTTTCTGAAGTAAAATGTAAAGGTTTGGTTGGAGATTGTAAGAAGTCTGTAGTATTAAGAAGCATGCTAGTGGCAGCACAGAATGTATATATTCATTGATTCATTAGGAAAGCAATGTTTAAGTCACGAAGATCTTGCCGTCTTCTGAAGAGCAGTGTTTTAAATATTATCTATAATGTGACAATTATTTCTCTGGCAACAAAAATAAAAGAGAAGATCAGATGAAATACACTCAGATGTGGTTGGTTTGTGAGGATAGAGATAACCCTTGGTCTTGCCAAGGTTTAAGAACAAAGAAATAATAAAATTTAAAAAGACTTGGGTACCTAAGGTACACAGTTAAGGAATGTAGTGGTGCACTGAGGTACAATGAAGGCTGAAGATGCTCAAAAGGAGTACTTTGAGGTAAAATGCCACAGTTTGGCCAAGAATGTCAAATGAAAGATGAATCTTACAAGGCAGAAGTGATATGTGCTTTCTACATATCCTAATATGTAGAATAGAAAAATAAAACTCTATTTAATATCAGCACTACTGTTATTCTTCATGTTTGTGATCTCAGGGGAAATTTGTTAGACTCACATATAACCTGAGAGAACTGTTTTGTCTTTAGCATGTGTAAACATTTTGAAGGGTGAAATATAAGGTGTCCCAAACATATTTATAAAAAAAAATCCAAAAAACAACAACAAAAACTTGTTTCCTTCACATTATAATTGGAAAAGAAAATTTAACATTTTATTAAATATATATATAAAAAATGCCAATTTTATCAATGATTAAGTACATTTATAGTCTAACATTTGTGACATTTTAACAAGATGTTAGACTATTCTCTCTTTGCATTAATTTCCTGGTATGCCTGCAGATTGTTAAGAAATCCTACCAAATGGAAAATTAAATAGCTACTTTCAGCTAAATTATTTCAAAAGAAAAATGATAAAAATCATGCCAAATCAGTTAGAGCATGAAATTACATACAATATGCACTGTTATAAAATGATTATGTGATGTTATGTGTGATCTCATGAAATTAAGTCTCTACAGCTTACAAAAGGCTTAATGCAGACTCAAGAGGAGAAAAATGACATTAAAAAATAACTGTTATAAAAAATAATCTTAACTCCTAACATTTAAAGGATGAGGCAAACAAGGATTTAACTATATCAGAGCAATAACAGTCATTAGCATTTTTTGCAAACTGTGATTATTCATATATACATAATATATATTATGTACTCACAGGTAATATATATTTATATATAATATGTAATGTATTCATTTATATATTGTATGTTTCAAGTATGTATATATATAACTCTTTTCCTTTCTTTGTGTTATCTCCTTATTTATCTGAACTATGGCTTGGTCATCTTACTGTATTGTTGGGATGATAGTTGAGATGCAAGCCACTATCACAAAGAGGAGAGGAGGTGCCACTGCTCTGGTCACTTGGAGCACCTGTAGAAAAAACATCACAATATCCCACTGGTTAGAACACCAAAATATTCTAGACTGATGCATTCTACATTATATATTTCCATATACTCAGTAATGTCAAGAAAATAAGTTAGTAAAATTAATTTTAGTTTCACTTATAGCAAAGCTGGAGTTTTGCAAGTAAGCTAAGTGAATAAAGTGGGACCCTGAAAGAGAACCATGTATTGATCTTTGATTTCAGAAATATTGCAAGGCTTTATTAAATAAAAACATATAACCTTACAAAATTATTATTTCATTTCATTATCCAAAGTGACCTACACTTATGAACCATACTTATAATTGTCCAGAATGTGGTTTGTCTACAGAGATTCTATTTATTATCATGTCTCAATGTATGAGGAAGTCATATTTTTAGATACCATAATTTTCCACCATGCAAAAAAAGTTTATATGGGCTCTTTATACACTTGATCTTAGCCAAAAGGCTGAGAAGTGATACATATGGGCTCTTTATAAATGTTCTTGGTATATGCTATAATTGGAAGTAACTTCATTCATGTTACCTAAATTGGTGCACTTGACACTAAAATATTTCATATCAGAATCTGATAAGAAATCTACTAATATCTTTCTTTCTTTAAATATGAGTAATATATGTCTTAAACTGAAATTTCACAATTCAGTATTTTTTACAGTTAGGATTAGAATACATATTTCTTGATTTTTTATTCTTTTTTTGGAAAACATGATATATTTTAAAGGTAATATTTTAATACATAAGCATATTACTTTAAAATGTATATCCATTTTGAACAGAATAAAATAATATGTCAAATTTTGTGACAGATCCAAAGCAGTCTTTTGAGTGAAATTCAAAGATTTAAATGTATGCATAAAAGAAAGGTACAAACTCAATGATGTATGTTTTCAACTTAAGAAGTTAGATATGAAAAAGCAAATTAAATCAAAGTAGAAGACAGAAAATAATAAAAATAAAAGTGAAAAAGAGTAAGATTGGAACAAAATAACAGAAAAATTAACCAAGAAAAAATGGGTTCATTGGAAAGATTAATAAAGCTTATAGCAAAAACGATGTAGAAAGAGTGAGAAAATACAAGTTATTAATATCAGGAATGAAGAAGGTGGAATTACTGCAGCCATAAAACATTAAAAGGAATAATAGAAGGATATGATGAATAATTTCATGCAAATAAATTCATAACTCAGTTAAAATGGAAAAAAAAATCTTGAAAAACATTTTACCAAAATTTATAAAAGAAGAAAAAAGTATCAGAAAAAGTCCTATAAGAATTCAAGAGATTGGAGCACCTGGGTGGCTCAGTGGTTAAGCTTCTGCCTTTGGCTCAGGTCATGATCTGAGGATCCTGGGATCAAGCCCCTGAATTGGTCTTTCTGCTCAGTGGGGAGCCTGCCTCCCCCACTCTCTCTGCCTGTCTCTCTGCCTACTTGTCATCTCTGTCAAATAAATAAATAAAATCTTAAAAAAAAAAAAAAGAATTCAAGAGATGAATTTGTACAAAATAAAAACTGTAATTCTAGGCTTAGGTTGCCTTTTGGTGAATTTATTAAATTATTTAAGAAAAGTATACTACTACTGGTAAGTAAAATCTTTATGGAAATAAAGGAGGAGTTACATTCCACAAGTTACATGAAGACATTAAAAACCCTAGTACCAAAATTGTACTAAAACACTACAAAAGGGTATATATGGAAATCCCTCATGAAAATATTTTTTTAAGTTTTTCTTATGTATTTATTTATTTGAGAGAGATAGAGCATGAACAGGGGGAGAAGGAGAGGGAGAAGCAGACTCTCTACTGAGCAGGGAGCCCAATGCTGCCACTTGATCCCAGGACCCTGCAATCATAACCTGAGAAGAAAGGACATGCTCAAATGACTGAGCCACCAAAGAGCCCCTGAACATATATATATTTTTTTTAAAGTCTTAATATATTAGCAAATGGAAACCAGCAATATATAAAGAAAAAATCTTAACATTTCATGATGAGTGGTGCTTATCCTAGGAATTCAAGCTTAATTTGGCATTGAAAATAAATATTTAAAAATTCACCATATAGGGACGCCTGGGTGGCTCAGTTGCTTGGACAACTGCTTTCGGCTCAGGTCATGATCCCGGAGTCCCAGGAATGAGTCCTGCATCGGGCTCCCAGCTCCACGGGGAGTCTGCTTCTCTCTCTGCCCTTCTCCTCACTCATGCTCTCTCTCACTGTCTCTCTCTCATATACATAAATAAAATCTTTAAAAAATAATAAAAATAAATAAAAATTCACCATATAAACCTTCTCCAGAATAGACCACATACTGGGTCACAAATCAAAGCTCAACTGATACCAAAAGATTGATATTATTCCCTGTGTATTCTCAGATCACAATGCTTTGAAACTGGAGCTCAACCGCAAGGAAAAGTTTGGAAGGAATTAAATAACCTAGAAGCTAAAGACCATCTTGCTTAAGAATGCTTGGATCAACCAGGAAATCAAAGAAGAACTTAAACAATTCATGGAAACCAATGAGAATGAAGACACATCAGTCCAAAACCTATGGGATACATCAAAGGCGGTCCTAAGGGGGAAATACATAGCCATCCAAGCCTCCCTCAAAAAAATTGAAAAATCCATAATACACCAACTGTCTTTACACCTTAAAGAGTGGGAAAATCAACAACAAATTAAGCCAACTCCACACACAAGAAGGGAAATAATCAAGATTAGAGATTAGATTAGATCAATGAGATAGAAACTAGAGATACAGTAGAACACAACAATGAAATTAGAAGCTGGATTTTTGAAAGAATCAATAAGATCAATAAACTATTGGCCAAACTAATCCAAAAGAAAAGAGAGAAGACCCAAATTAATAAAATTATGAATGAAAAGGGAGAGATCACAACTAACACCAAGGAAATAGAAACAATCATCAGAAATTATTATCAACAGTTATATGCCAATAAGTTAAGCAACCTAGAGGAAATGGATGCTTTCCAGGAAAACTATGAACTTCCAAAATTGAACTAGGAAGAAACTGACAACCTGAATAGATCAATATCTAGTAACGAGATTGAAGCAGTGATCAAAAACCTCCCAAAAAATAAGAGCCCAGTACCTGACGGATTTCCTGGGGAATTCTACCAAACTTTCAAAGAACAAATAATACCTATTCTCCTGTTGCTGTTTCAAAAAATTGAAGCAGAGGGAAAACTTCCAGACTCTTTTTGTGAAGCCAGCATTACCCTGATCCTCAAACTGGGCAAAGACCCCACCAAAAAGGAGAATTTCAGACCAATATCCCTAATGAATATGAATGCTAAAATTCTCAAGAAGATCCTAGCTAATAGGATCCAACAGCACATTAAAAAGATTATCCACCATGAAGTGGGATTCATCCCTGGGTTGCAAGGGTTGTTCAACATTCGCAAATCAATCAATGTGATAGAACAAATCAATAAAAGAAGAGAAAAGAACCACATGGTCCTCTCAATTGATGCAGAAAAAGCATTTGACAAAATCCAGCATCCATTCCTGATTAAAATCCTTCAAAGTATACGGATAGAGGGAATATTCTTCAACTTCATAAAATCTATCTATAAAAAACCCATAGCAAATATCATCCTCAATGGGAAAAAGCTCACAGCCTTCCCTTTGAGATCAGGAATATGACAAAAATGCCCACTCTCACCACTCTTGTTCAACATAGTATTAGAAGTCCTAGCAACAGCAATCAGACAATGAAGAGAAATAAAAGGTATTCACATTGGCAATGAAGAAGTCAAACTCTCTCTCTTCGCAGATGACATGATAATTTATATGGAAAACACAAAAGACTCCACCCCCAAACTACTAGAACTCATACAGCAATTCCATAATGTGGCAGGATACAAAGTCAATGTACAGAAATCAGTTGCTTTCTTATACACTAACAATGAAAATACAGAAAGGGGAATTAGAGAATCGATTCCATTTACTATAGCACCAAGAACCAAAAGATACCTGGGAATAAACCTAACAAAAGAGGTAAAGAATCTGTACTCAAGGAACTACAGAATACTCATGAAAGAAATTGAAGAAGACACAAAAAGATGGAGGACCATTCCATGCAAATGCAGAATAAACATTGTTAAAATGCCTATACTACCTAGACCAATCTATACTTTCAATGCCATTCTGATCAAAATTCCATGGGCATTTTTCAAAGAGCTGGAGCAAACAATCCTAAAATTTGTATGGAATCAGAAGAGACCCCAAATTTCTAAGGAAATGTTGAAAAAGAAAAACAAACTGGGGGCATCATGTTGCCTGATTTCAAGCTTTACCACAAAGCTGTGATCACCAAGACACATGGTACTGGCATAAAAACAGACACATGGACCAGTGAAACAGAGTAGAGAGCCCAGATATGGACCCTCAACTCTATGGTCAAATAATCTTCGACAAAACAGGAAAAAATATACAGTGGATAAAAGAGTCTCTTCAATAAATGGTGCTGGGAAAACTGGACAGCTATATGTAGAAGAATGAAAGTTGACCATTCTCTTACACCACACACAAAGATAAACTTGAAATGGATAAAGGATCTCAACGTGAGGCAGGAATCCATCAGAATCATGGAGGAGAACATAGGCACTAACCTCTTCGATATTGGCCACAGCAAATTCTTTCAAGATATGTCTTCAAAGGCAAAGGAAACAAAAGCAAAAATGAATATTTGGGACTTCATCAAGATCAAAAGCTTCTGCACAGCAAAGGAAACAGTCAAAAAAACAAAGACGCAACCCACAGAATGGGAGAAGATATTCGCAAATGACAGTACAGACAAAAGACTGATATCCAGGGTCTATAAAGAACTCCTCAAACTCAACACACACAAAACAGACAATCATGTCAAAAAACAGAAAACATGAACAGACACTTCTCCAGTGAAGATATACAAATGGCTAACAGACACATGAAAAAATGTTCATTATCACCAGCCATCAGGGAGATTCAAATCAAAACCACATTGAGATTCCACCTTACACCAGTTAGAATGGCCAAAATTAACAAGACAGTAAACAACATGTGTTGGAGAGGAAGTGGAGAAATGGGAACCCTCTTACACTGTTGGTGAGAATGCAAGTTGGTACAGCCACTTTGAAAAACAGTGTGGAGATTCCTTAAGAAATTAAAAACAGAGCTTCCCTATGACCCTGCAATTGCACTACTGGGCATTTACCCCAAAGATACAGACATAGTGAAAAGAAGTACCATCTGTACCCCAATGTTCATAGCAGCAATGGCCACAGTAGCCAAACTGTGGAAAGAACCAAGATGCCCTTCAATGGATGAATGGATAAGGAACATGTGGTCCATATACATGATGGAGTATTATGCCTCCATCAGAAAGGATGAATACCCAACTCTTGTACAACATGGACAGGACTTGAAGAGATTATGCTGAATGAAGTAAGTCAAGCAGAGAGAGTCAATTATCATATGCTTTCACTTATTTGTGGAGCATAGGAATAACACAGAGGACAGGGGGAGATGGAAAGGAGAAGGTAGTTGGGGGAAATTGGAGGGGCAGATGAACCATGAGAGACTATGGACTCTGAAAAACAATCTTGGGGTTTTGGAGGGGTGGGGGGTGAGAGGTTGGGTGAGCCTGGTGGTGGGTATTATGGAGGGCATGTATTGCATGGAACACTGGGTGTGGTACATAAACAATGAATTCTGGAACACTGAAAAGAAATTTAAAAAATTAATTAATTAATTAAAAAAATAACATAGGGGCTCCTGGGTGGCTCAGTTGGCTAAAGCCTCTGCTTTCAGCTCAGGTCATGATCCCAGGGTCCTGGGATCGAGCCCTGAATTGGGCTCTCTTCTCAGAAGGGAGCCTGATTCCTCCTCTCTCTCTGCCAGCTTCTCTGCCTACTTGTGATCCTTATCTGTCAAATAAATAAATAAAATCTTTAATAAATAAATAAATAAAAATAAAATAAAAATTCACCATATAAGCAGAATTAAAAGATAGATTAAAAATATGATATTTCAATGGATGTAAAAAAAAATTGTGACAGTTCAACATCAAGTTATGTTTAAAAGAAAAAGAAAACTCCTCAGTAACCCAAGAATAAAAAGAACACTTCCTCAACCTAATAAAGGACATGTGTGAGTACCTACAGCTAATATAATACTTAATGGTAAAAGACTGGAAATTTCTCCTCTAATATCTTGAGCAGAGAGATATCTACTCTCAATATATTATATAACAATTTACTGGAAGTCCTAACTATTGCAATAGGCAAGAAAAGGAAATTTTTAAAATGTGGATTGGAAAGAAAGAATTAGAATTCATTATTTACAGATAACATAAGTGAAAAGCCTTCAAGAAAATATCAAAAGTCCTACAGAACTAATAGAAAGTTAACCCTATGATGCAGAATATGTTCATGTATAAAAATAAACTGTATTCCTATGTGTTAGCAACAGTAACTGGAAAATAAAAGTTTTTTTTTAATACCATTTATGGTAGAATAAGAAATGCTTAAAAATAAGTTTAATGAAAGTTAAAATAAGTTAAAAATAAATTTAATGAAAAATGATATGCAAGACCTTCTCACTAAAAACACTAAAATGTTGCTAAGAAAAATTAAAACATAAATAAATGGAATGATATATAATGTGCATGAATTGAGAGATTTAAAGTTATTAATGTATTAATTCTCAAAATTATCTATAAATCCAGCTTAATCCCATTCAGAATCATAATTGGATTTTATAGAAATTAATGTGTTATTTCTAAAATATATGCAGTGATGTAAAAGATCTAGAATAGCTAAATAATCTTGAAAAATTGCAAAATGGGAAAATGTGATCAACACCGTAGTTACAGTGAAAGAATAGCCACAAAAATTAATGGAAATAAGAAAGTCATTTATTGATTCTAAATTCCTCACTTAGACACAAAAAGTAATTAATCTAAAATGGATTCTAAACTTAAACAAAAGCCAACCTCATAAAGCTTCTAGTAAAAATGTAGGGGAATCTCTTTGCAACCATGGGGTAGGCAAATATTTCTTAGAGGAGATATAGAAAACAATAACCATTTGCAAAAAAACAAAAATCTCACAGTTCCTTTGTGCCTCTTTCCAATAAATAACACTCCTAAAAACAGCCATTAATTTAATTTCTTAGTATCAGATTTCATTTTGCTTCTTCTAGGTTATCACATAGGAACATTTAGAATGGAATCATACTTTATTTACTCTTTTATGTCTGGCTTATTTCATAATGAAAGTCACTTGTGTTACATATTTCAGATGTTCATTTACATTGCTGTGTAATATTCCATTTGATGAATATACTGAAGTTTGCTAATCACTCTCCCATTGATATAGAACAGAGCTGTTTCCTATAGTTTGCCACTATGAATAAAGCTATTTTGAACATTCTTGCATAAGGCTTTTGAAAGTCTTCCAATTTTATGTCACTACCATAAGCACTTAGGAGTAGAATTGCCAAGTCACCAGGTAGATATATAATTAACTTGTTAACAAATTGATTTAAAGGCAAGAGATTTTTAAGTAACTCTTAGAAATTTCCACATGGACTGTTACTTCCTTCAATCTCCCTAACCTCATCAGATGACTTAAGTGATAATGCTTGTTTAGCAAGTCCAGTAGTCAAATAAGAGTATATAATTCTATAAGTTAGATAAAATATATTAATCAAATATTATGAATGAGATATAATAGAGATACAAAATGTATGTAGTTGATATGATACTATTTTTATAATAAATAATGTCTCCAATTATAGGTTAGCAAATAACTGTAAATGTGCTGAATACATTCTGAAACAAAAATTACATCTGTTCTCTTTGCATGAGCATTCATAGAATGCTTTGTGATACAAAAATATTTGTATTCAAGCAGAAACACCAACTTTAAAAAAATTACCAGTTACTGTTAGGAAATAATGGTTTAGAAAATAAATATGACGATGTGAGCATTTTACCTATTCTTCATAAATGCTTACATGCACAATCTTCATTCAGTGGGAGTTTGAGGAAAGCAGGTGATCTTTTTAAAAATGACACTGTGAGGGTCACTTCTTCTCCAGCATTCCGAAGCACCTGAACCTAAAATAAAACAGAATAAAAATGATACTGTTATCAGTATGGTCACAAAGTATTTTATATGGTTACAAAACCTTGAAAGATTTGTTGTCTTTTCCACATCTCTTTTTTCTATAGTGGTCAAAAACATTTTACTAAAGATAGAGGGAATGGATTATGTAACATTGTAGGAATATAGCCATCATGTTCTTCCTTTTCCCAACATTTGGTGGTCTCCTGTTCACTCACAATGTCATCATAGTCCATTCATACTTGTAGAGGTTTCTTAGTATATGGTATATATTAGGCAATATGAGAGATTATGATGTCTACAGAAAGACGCAGTGCTCAAGCCACTGTGTCATTAATTTAATAATATATATTGAACCTCTATTATATACCACTTGGAGATATCAAAATAAATGATCCTCCAGATGATGATGAAAGAGCAAATTCAAATTAAACAAAATTGGCACAGTTCAGTCAAACACATTTGCAAAAAATATAAAAAGGTATTATTTTCCTATTATATTCTTGCATATTTTAATCCTTTCCCTGAAGACTTGGAATAATGGTGAAGACTGTTATCATCAACTCTCAATGCTTTTTAAATTATAGAATTAATAGGTCTTCTACCACTTTAAATAATGTCAAGTTCTTCAAAAATTTTATCAAGACAAATGTAAGAAATACTAAAAGAAATACAAGAAGCTGAGGAGTTATCTATAACATACATACCTAGAAAAGATATAGGTGTACTTATAATTTGGATATCTCACTTCAACTAAGAGGAGAATTACAAATAATTAGTGGGGAGACAGTTAATAAACATGGGAACACAGTTTGTGATTAAACATCTAGAAAAAATGTTCCACCCAGTCAATAGAGAATTGACTATCAAAATGATTTAGAATGACTTCTGCTCTGGAGAAGATGGCTTGGCTTCTTCATCTTTTCCTTCTCCCCCTCAGTAATTATAAACACTCAAAAACCTGCAAGAGACAACTGAAAGGCAAGTCCAACTCTGAAAGGTAGAAAGAGAAAAGAAGATCTGTTAGGGATCCCAGGATTGATGGAACAGCACAGAGGAGGGGTGTTTTAGAAGCTCCCACTCAACAGAGGGATTTCTACCCAATGGTGGATTAAAGAGTCCTTTTGCCCACTTAGTTGCATCAAGGGGCCCAGCCTGAGAAAACTCCTTCCACATTCCTCAAACAGCATCAGCAGGTAACAGTGGGAAATCAATTAGACTAAAGAATCCAAACAGTCTCTAAAAAGCACATTGCCCATGGAACCACAGGCCACAAAATTAGACTAGGACCTGTATGGCAAATAGAATTCCTGCTAAAAAGGGGGGGGGAAAAAGGGAGGGGGGGAGCTTACATAAGAACCACAGGCTCAACATAATAAGCAAGTGGCTAGGATATGATAAAATAACATGTCTCACTAAGAACCAGGAGAATCACAATTTGAATGAGAAAAGATAGCTAACTCCAATTAGATAAATTACAAACTGGTATTATCTGACAAGGATTTTTAAAGCTGCTTTAATAAAAATATGTCAGCAAGAAATTACAAATTCTCTTGAATCAAATGAAAAATCACAAAATCTCAGCAAAGAAATACAAATTGTGGAAAAAGAACCAAATGAAAACTATAGAACTAAAAACAGCATTAACATAAAAAACAAACAAACTTATTGATTCAATCAGTAATACAATGAAGATCACAGAAGTTAGAATCAGTAAACTTGAGGACAGAACAATAAAACTCACCCACTCAAATGCAGGAAAAATAATTTATTTCATGACAAGTAAAAAAAAGTTTAAAAAAATAAAAAAATAATCATTTAATAGATTGCAGAGAAGAATTTAATAAAATATATTTGATAAAAATTATAGAAAACTGAGTTTATAAAATAGTGTCTTCATATTATAAAGAAGATATAAAAATTTCTTTAAGAAACATCACCAATGGTGATTTATTGAGATATTTCTCTCTCAGCTCAGAAGACAAAAATGTCCACCAACTTGTTTACCTTAATCTTTCTTCAGGTCTTACTGCAATAAGGCAAGAAAAGAACTAATAAAATGCACAAGAATTGAAAGAAGATATGAAACTGTCATTATTCAGAGATAAGATAATTCTGAGCATAGGGAATCCTGGGGAATCTGTAGACATCATTACATGAGACATTAGCAGTTGAGTTACTAACGAGGTTCAGCATCAAATAGTATAGATACAAAGTAATATGCTTTCAGAATGAAAACCATACGGGTGCCTGAGTGGCAATAGGTTAGCCTCTGCCTTCAGCTCAGGTGGTGATCTCAAGGTCCTGGAATCGAGCCCCACAACGGGATCTCAGCAGGGAGCCTCTCTCTCTGCCTGCCTACTTGTGATCTCCCTCGGTCAAATAAATAAATAAAATCTTTATTTAAAAAAAATGAGGGGTGCCTGGGTGGCTCAGTGGGTTAAGCCTCTGCCTTCAGCTCAGGTCATGATCTCAGGGTTCTGGGATCGAGCCCCGCATGGGGCTCTCTGCTCAGCGGGGAGTCTGCTTCCCCCCTCTCTCTCTGCCTGCCTCTCTGCCTACTTGTGATCTCTGTCAAATAAATAAATAAAATCTTTAAAAGAAAAAAAAAAATGAAAACCGTAGGCCGAAAATGGAGTCGTGTATGTTAGGCTATCACCAAACCAGAGCTTAATACCTAATCTAATTGCAGTTTCAACCTTTCCCAGAAATGTAATCTTAAATAGTCAGGAGTTTTCTGATCAGCACCAAGGAGGTGATCTGTCACATGGTCCCTCTTCATTCCCCCAAAGGAAGACTAGGTAATCCATCTACTAAGGCCCCCTGTCTTTCCTCCTAAGGAAGGTGACCTTGCCTCAAACAAAACTTTCTTCCTTTTTTCTTTTTTTAATTTTTTTTTTTGACAAATTGTCCCTTCCTATGTCTGTCTATACAATTCTTCTGTTTTGTATAGAACCTTGGAGCTCCTTACTACTTGCTAGATGGGATGTTGCCTTATTCATAAATGGCTTAACAAAATAAATTGGTTTTTCAAGTTTACTTGTTTAAATTTTGCTTTTTAACAACACAAAGGTCAACTGGTTTTGATTCAATATCTACAAATATAACATTAATTTTTAAATAATGGAAGATTATGTTATGCCATGGATCATTAGATATAATACTATAAAGGTATCAATTCCCTCCCACATTTCTATAGATGAAAGACAATCCTATTCAAGGTCCCAGTGTTGTTGTTGTTGTTGTTGTTGTTGTTGTTGTTATTCAGGATTTGGCTTAGTATGAACTTATGAACTTGGCTTATGTTTTGCATTGACATTTAACACTGATACAATAATTATTATATAATTGTATTGAGAGGTCATGAATCAGTGAAATATATGGGATGGTGGAACACAATAGGTCAATATTTATATTCTATAGTAAATGTACGGCAAATAATTCCTACCATTAAATAATAAAGAGAAGTATGATCATCTTAAGGGTAAATATGAGAATAAAGGTGTATAAGTTAAAGAAGATTGCTTTACATGTGTACTTTAATCTTGAAGTTTTGTTTTTCAGGTGTAATCAAGAAAAATTGTAAAATAACTTTTAATTGTAAAATCTCAGCCTTGGTAGATAACTTAGTTTTGTTTTTAATAAAGGATCATTTATGGTTATCTTTCAGGGCAATCACAAGTTCAAGTCCTTGACACATATACATTTCTTAATAAATGCAGGAATATTCAGTTTTTCAGTGAACAGGATTGACATTATGTGTTTTTACTTTTTTTTCTCAGCTTTGTTACTATGCTTTGATGCATATTTCATCAGCCTGATACTGTCAGGGTGGAAAATATAGATTCTACATCATGAGTTATGATGGATGTCATCTTCCTGCAAAATCAGAAATCTGCACCAATAAACCCAGCTTTTTCATTTTCATTCACATCTTATGATGCAAATCAAATGTGCTCTTTGATCTGATAATGGATTATCACGGTTATTCTATCATATTGCCTTTGGTGTGTATGTAAACAAAGGGTAACAGATAGGTAAAGTGTGGCAATCAATAAGAAGGAACAGGGGGCAGGAATTAAAATAGATATTTATAGGTTTATTATATTAAACCATGACTAACCTAACTACTCAATTCATGAACTGAATGTTTTTGAGTTCTACTTGCTGTTAGAAGGTGAAATTCATAAAATCATCTTGTCTTCTTCACCTTTTTCTCCTTCCCCTTGTAGGATATTCTATCTAATATGAGATTTTAAAGAGGAATTTTTCTGTCTGCCACTGTTTTGTTATATGACGTCAAGAATATCCATGGCTGGGAACTGTTTTATATTTTTATTTTTTTGAAGACTTTATTTTCATAGAGTAGTTTTAGGTTCACAGCAAAACTTTGGGGGAAAGCACAGAGATTTCCTGTATTCTCCCTGCCTCCCCATGTGCACAGTTTCCTGGTCATCAACATCTGTCCTCCATCAGAAGGGTACATTTATTGCAAATGACGAATTGACACATCATTCTCACTGAGTCCATTGTTTACCTTAAGGTTCACTCTTTGTCTTGTATATTCTCTGGATTTGGGTAAGTATGTCACGATATGTATTCCCCATTATTGTATGATATGGAGTATTTTAACTGCCCTAAAAATCCTTTGTGGTCTGCCTATTCATCCCTGTCTCTTACCTCAACCTTGGGGATTGTTTATAATCGATGAACAGAAGGATTTCTGCTTTGCCTGGACACACTGTAAGAACACATATCAGGAAACACACACACACACACTCCCCCACACCCCACACGCATCTTCAGTGGCAAAAAGGGCAGTAAGAAAGTCTGTGAGGACCATAGCCACTAGCCAACATGATGTCAGAACAACCAAATAAGATTTAGATCTCCAGAGAGTAAGGTAAGTATTGCCGCTCACTGATGACAGTGATGGAAAAGAGTTACCTAGAATTTCACATTAACACTGACTCATCTCTCTTGACATACTGTT